GCTTCTTGTAGACGTTGCCACAGTTCTTCTGGATTTAGTCTGTTTTAGTTTGTTCCGTTTCTTCATGTCATTCCAGACAGACTGGATGATGATGAGATCAGATCTCTGTGGAGCACTGGCTGCTGTCAGACTCCTGATATTTCCTACTTGACAGCAAAAGATAGAAATAACTGACTTAAAACCATTTTTTAGCTGGTGAAAATACTAGTGTTCTAATAATTATGGCCACCACTGTATATTTACGGTATACCCAAAGTAAATACTATGTCATCATTTACTCAACCTCATGTTGTTCCAAACTTGTATGGCTTTCTTTCTAGTGAAACACATTAAAAAATGTCTGTTGAAAGTCAGTGGGGTTGGGTGTTATTTTGGACTCGGCTGACTTTCATTGTATGGACAAAGTCAACTGAAACATTCTTCAAAATATCCTCTTTTGTGCTCCACAGAAGACAGAACATCATACAGGTTTGGAATGGCATGAGGTGAGTAAATGATGGCGCAGTTTTCATTGTTGGGTGAACAATGCCTTTAACCACGTAATATTAAAGTGCATTGTGGGTATAAATTGACTTACTCCACAACTTCGCTATCAGTCATATCCAGGTAGCGGTTGCTGATACACTGAATGTGAAACCAGTCTCGATAGCCTCCGTTGCCACAGCACTGAAACTGCATTTGCAGCATGTCCATTGTGCGCTTGATGTAGCAGCGGCCTGGCATGTCCGTATCTTTATAGTAGCGCATGGCGTCACGCAAGCCCAAAAACAGTGACTCCTCCAGATCGTTACGCATGCTATAGCACATCAATGCTCCCACGAGGATACAAAATGTAAAGAAAAAGGTACATATGATGTAAGGCAGCATCAGCAGCTTCCATCGCAGGAACTTGGTAGTGTCCACACAGTCATAGCAGATCTTTCCCCCTAGGAAGTTGATCGCACAGGCAGTCGTGCCAACACAGATAAGCATGTTTGGCACTGACACAATCTCTTTTGACATCAGCTCCCGTCTCTTCACGATCTCCACCTTTAAGAACAGGCCCAGGCTGAAGAGCGTGACTCCAGTTACCACAGACACCCAGTTCAGGACCCATAAAACCTGGGCCAGTTTGTCTCTGTTTGTCTTCGTAAATGTCACTTTTAAGACTGCCATTGTCGATGGGAAATGTTGCTTTTACCGTCTCGGCGGTAACATTTTTTGTGTTTAGGTGTAAAGCTCATTTTATTTTAGGGTGATATAACATACTGGATAAATGGGAGAAGACAGGGAACATGTTCCACAGGGAGGAGGGAAGTGAACTTAGAGAGATGGTCAAGAGGGCCACATAAGCAGCTTAAGTTAGGTATTTTTACACTCCTGGATGACGGCCTTAGCTTCATAATAGCACAGGTACTGAAATCAAGATGAAAATGTAACAAAATAAATGCATGGATAGTTTACAATGTATGAAAATGGCTATTTAATATATACTGTACTGTATATATTTGTATATTTCTATAACTACTATATACTAATATAATGATACTTACTGAAGAATTATTTCTGAGTTGAATGTGCAAGCTTATTTTAGTTCAGTAAGTATAGAAATGTTCGATTATTTTGTTAATATATTTATGTTTTACTGTGGCTCATAGTTAAGTTATTTATTGTTTTAATACTTATTGAGTATGCATATGAAGTTAGAGTGTACGTAATCAAGACATTGTCAGTTTGTCAAATGTGAAGTGTATTCCATGTACACGCTGAAAAAACATTATAAATGATAATTTAATAAATTATAAATAGCATTTTTTTAACATTAGATGTTACAGAAGGACATTTGATGTTATTCTAGGCACTATTATACTTTAATACACTTCTTAGTTGTATTCCCACAACCCCCACCCACTTAAAACCACATAATTTACCTACCCAGATCTCAAATAGCCGCATATGGGCTTGTAATCCATGGACCTTGATTGTAGATGCTGCCATATTCCCTTTTTTGCATATTTCAGGTAAGGGACCACAGAAGAGGTGAGGAGCAGGTTTAGAGTGAATTGTGTCCAGACTCACTGTGACCTCCACCTAATCCATTTATCCTCAGGATTTAACAGAACACTTCCAAGCCATCTGGGCCAATCCCAAGCGAATAACATCAGTGCTTCCCCCCACAATAATAGTAAATAATAAGATATGTATTTATAATGTGTGAAATAAACCCCACCCACCCAAAACATGGACAACTCATATACAGTAGCCTACATGGGTTCAAGAACAAACTCCCTAAGATGTTTCGATATGAGGGAGAAACCTTTGGAGGAACCAAGAATCCTCAAACAGATTTACTGTGCAAGTTTACATATTTTCACACTGGAATTTGCCAGTACTGGACAATTTTGTTTAGATTTTTTGGCATATACAGCAATTGTTATGTAGAAAGGGGGCGGAGTCAAAAGTAACAATTTTTATATTATGTTATATTATTTTTATATTAATTTAAACAATTATTATCAAACAATTATATTCATTTAGTAACATAAATATATCTTAGTGTAGGTAGGCTATATCTTTAGAGTTTTATAATTCATTATCTTCTTGTGAATCCACCAGTTCACATTTACAATTGCGTGTTTTCTGCGTGAAAATAAGGGTCGTTTTTGGCTTTGGTCTCTAAACAAAGAACAGAAGGGCTTATTGAAAAACGCAAATTCATTCTCTGCCAGCAGGTGGCGCTTTTCGCCAGGAATATAGCCGTTTCCCCGGTAACTGCAGTAAACAAAGCAGCGCAGCACCTGACTTTGAAACTTGCTTATATCTCAATTTACATGTATATTTAGTTTTACTGGAGCACGCACCACCTGAACTTCTCCCATTGTTTCCTTCCTGCGGTACTCCTTGCGCACATATAATTCATTCTCTGCCAGCAGGTGGCGCTTTTCGCCAGGAATATAGCCGTTTCCCCGGTAACTGCAGTAAACAAAGCAGCGCAGCACCTGACTTTGAAACTTGCTTATATCTCAATTTACATGTATATTTAGTTTTTTTCACTGGAGCACCACCTGAGTCTTCTCCTCCCATTTCTACCAGTGATCATTGTTTCCTTCCCACTGTAGGCCTACTACCTGCGCACATATCAATAGCATCACTGGGCTGTAGGTTGCCAAGTTGAGGGGACAAATGGGTTGAAATTTGTATGCGTCGATCGTGTGAGAAGGGTGCGTTTCATACAAGATCTGGCAACTGGACAACCTTGGAATTTGTTGTCGTGATTATTCATATAATGAGGTTTGACCCATACAAATTACGGGAGTTTTACAGGAAGCGAATGCAGCAAACATAAAATACGCCCAGTGGGATTTTTTTTATAGAAAGATTAAAAATACGGGAGAAATACAGGAAAATATTTAAACGGGATGATAGCGGGATAGAATGGTAAAATACGGGAGAATCCCAGGAAAAACGGGAGGGTTGGCAGGTATGGTTCAAAGATGCTGTGCATGCAGGGGTGACATTTTACTCGTCGTCCAATAACACGATGCAGACTTAGCTGAACATTCCCCGTCATACGCAGTAGCCAAATGCAGTCGCCGGAACGATGGCCGTCGATAATTTTCGCTTTGGCCAGTGCATACTTTATTTATTTTTTGCATTTCTTTTCAGTTTCATCGCCGTTGTTCCGCTCTCTGAAAACAGCGATGACTCCTAGGGGAAATGCCTGCTGTTTACTGAGGGAATGTGGCAGAATGAGAGCATGAAGATGGGGAAACAGCACTTTATAGTTGAAGAAGGGGACCAGAGTCAATCCTGCCGCTTCATCCCTTTCGTGGGCATCGTGTCTCTCATCCTGTCAGGCGTGGCGGACCTTCCTTTCTTTTCCACTGCAAAGGCCACGACGAGTAGGCAACCCCTCATTCACCTAGACCGCATTGCATATTAAAACATCCCAATCAGTAAATTATGTTATCAAACATGTTTATTTTATGTCTTTACATCTCTTGCAGCTCTCTTTTCCATGCCTTCTTGAATCTGCTCCTGTGCCTGTTGGTGGTATTTGTGGTTGGTACCATCTCCATTATTGGCTTTAGTGCATGGTGTGATGCTGTCACTGAAAATGGGGCCATGCCCAGCAGGTAAACTGTTTTAAACCATTTTAAATCAGAATCAAGCAATATCACACAAGAGTGCTGCACTGTATCTCATGCACTAAATAACAGTCATGCTGATATTTAGTAGGCTATTACAAAGAGCAAGCATGATATTGCTTTTTTTTTTTTTTACATTTTATTATTTCAATTATTTATGCTTATAGTAATATAATCAAGATGTTAATAATAGTAATAGTGCAATTTGTTAGTATATTGGACAAAAAAATTCAAATTGGCTCTGAAATTTCTTCTCCGCCATTGTACATTTCCAAAATTTAGTCACTTTCAAATTACTTGTGCTTTAAGGCAACTGTATGTAGTTTTTTGTATTGCAACTCTGGAGCCCCCTAGCAAAGTGTTTATGAAATGAAATTCTTCATTTCAAAGGTCTTTTTGAAGTGGCCAGTTGTGAAACTTTGGTTTGGAATGACCCTTCCTGTTTATCCTGTTTGAAATGCAGCGACATGCTCCCAGAACAGATATTTGGGGGGAGTGTGGGGGAAAAAAAACCCGGAAGCCATTAGTCTTATTAGAAATCTGCGTTCTATCACAATGATTTTGAAACTGATATTTCAAGGTACAAAACTTATGGTTGCTTTAAATTTGGTTTATTTCATTTGGCAGTTGTGAGGATCTGCAAGACACAGATTTAGAGCTTGGTGTTCACAACAACTCTTTTTATGACCAGTTTGCCATTGCACAGGTAAACATTCATCTATAAAACGTACATTCACAAGCAGAGATTTCCAGTATATATTTCATGAGTCTCGTGTACATAAGCTCTATGTGGTATTAATATGTAAATATGTTATTTGTTTCACAGTTTGGCCTGTGGTCAGCCTGGTTATGCTGGTTGAGTCTAACAGTACTAGCCTTCCTAAAGGTTTACCATAACCACTGGCAGCAGGAGCTGCTAGACAGCCTTGTTCAAGAGAAGGAGCTCCTGCTAGGTCATCCTTTACAGAGGAGTTCTTACAACAGGAACGCCATGATTTAAACAAAATCTCTCATGTAGTCCATTTACACTGCATGAACCAGTTTCTGAGAGCAGAATTAAACCCTCAGAATAAACATATATATTTTTTTATAAATCATATATCAATATTTAGATCTGAGTCTTAGTTAGTAGATTCATTATAAGCGATGTTCATGTTTAAATAAATGATCATGGAAAACCTCATTCAAAACAGATAGCAGAGTTAGTTTCCACTGTTGTTCAGAGACAGCATCCTTACAGAACTCTCATCAAACTCTACATGGAATTATCTTCATATTCACTCTTATTTTTTACATATAAAGACACTGCCTGTGAGATATTACATTGTACCTCATTCTCTTGAGAAGGCAGCTGTGGATTTAGGAGACTCAGTAAAGTGTAAATGAGGACGCTCATTTTGAGCAGATGTCACAGCTCCACAGTTCACTCAGACATTAAATGTAAAGTCTGCTTCACTTAGAAACTAATACTGCCTTTACTGTACATGGTAGCAAAATATAACCAAAAATAAAACTGAATAATTGCTCTTATGCAGTCTTTATTCTGTTACCTATAGGTGCAGGGTTTATCCCATTGTATCTGCAATCTTTTGCTTTTAGCTAACACACACTGGATTGACAAAATATTTGATTGCTTTTTCTTTATTATTGCCAGTCCTTTATATTATATTTTATTTATAAAAAAAATGAAAAGTGGTTAAAACTCTTTAGTTTTGTTGTGGTACTTTTTTGGAAATGCAACTGGAATTTTATTTTTTGGTAATATTATAGCACCTCATACATTCTAAATAATAACGAGCACTTCAATTTATCTTTGTTTTCATATTTATTATAATGTAAAGCTGAACTGGCTTTTAGACATGCTAGTGGAACCGTTCGTCTCACCAGCTAAATGGATTTGCAGTTTCATTGTCTCGATCACCACCAAGTGGCTGAAAAAAGAAATTGCTACATATACAGATTTGGTCATTTTCTTGTTTTTTGATCAATTTGTGACATAATGTGATTGTTGTAATTGTTGTAATGTGATTGTGACTATTGATCCGTTGGTGATAATCCCACATAAACACTCTAAAAAAGTACAAACATAAAACATCATGTAGAAAACAAACATATTCAGTATAACTACATTAACCTGACTACATTATTAGGTCAAGTCAGGTAAAAATAATGGAGGTTGATTAAGTTGTTTATTCAGAAATACAATAAATGCAGCAGAAAATATATTCTATCAAATTATACAAATGGTTCAAAAAAGCTTTACACTTACAATTCCATTTACCAGTTAGCAGACCACACACCTAAGTGGTTTAAAAGTGGAATAT